GTTGATAGAAGGATGAGGAAGAGGCACCGTGCATGGAACTAGTACTCCGTTCCGATCACGAATGTGAACGGTGCGGTTGAAGAAGTTCATCGGGCGATCCTCGCTTCGCAGCCATGACATGCCCAAGATCATGTCAAATTTGGTGTCCAGAATGTCAAAGGACACCGCCTCACTTGCGTGAGGGCAAAGTACACGGGGACGACGTCAATGCACCGGTCGATTGACTTGTGCGTATAATCGTCTGCCAACGTGACTTGCGTAGTCTGGGACTTCCTCCGGACACGTGGGCCAAGGCCGGCGCGCACCATGAAGTCCTGGCTGATGTAATTGCGAGATGCTCCACAATCGATCAAGGCACTGCAGGTCGCCTCACCGATCTGAATGCGTATGTATAGCAATGGTGCGTCGATGTCGTCGTATCGTTGCGTCTTGAACTCGCGGTCAATCTTCGCGATGTACTCGTGAAGGTTGACAACATGTACTCCGTCGTCCATCAACGGAGCTGGTACTGCAGTGTGCAAGTAGTCCCGCAGTTGTGCCATGAGCACATTGCAATGCGGTTTCGGCAATCGTTCGGTCGAGGGAACGGGCATCCACTGGAAGTTCGTGAACGTCAACGGGTCGAGCTCATCAAGTCTTGACCATGACGTCGAATCCCCGGCGATAGATTGCGGCGAAGGTGCCGAATCGGTTGCCGATGGTGATGAAACCGTGCATGCGGGGGACTGTTGCACGTGGAGCAGCTGGTCCAGCGGTGGAACCAAGTAGACAGCATAGTCCTCGTAAGAGTAACGAGAACTTGCGACATTCGCGTCCTCCCCAGATGTGCAGGAGGCCGCTAGCAAGGCGGCCGAATCTGGCGGAGTAGAAGGTGGAGTCGCCTCACCTTCCGAGGAGCTCAGTTTCCCGAGCTGAGGCGGGGTCGCACATCCTCCTTGCCCTGATCCTGGCACAAGGAGGTCCTCTGCTTGGTGGTGTTGCACCAATAGCAGCTGCCGTAGCGGCCGCGGACTTTGTACTCCGCCTCGGTCAAGCCGAACTTGACCCATGGAACTTGTACTAGCTGTCCATTTCTGGCCTGCGATGCGGATTTCGCCTTCCCATTGTTGCGGGACTTGTTGTTGCTTCGCGGCTGGACAGCAGCCACCTGATCTCCGTCACTTGATGCTGGAGTGGCTGCTGGGTTATCTCCACTGTCCTGCTGGACTGCAGCGAAGTGCTGCTGTCGCGGACCAGTTCGTGCCTTCTCCACATAGGTCGGCTGCCATGTTGATTTCTCGTGTGCAGTTGACCTGTTGGTCTTGATGATCTCTCTCGCCTTGTTGATGATCTCTGCGAAAGTGTGGTACTGCTCGCGATCACCAAGTGCGAGGCTCAGAGCGGCGCATGACCTGTTGTAGAACTCACGGCGCAGATGCGGAAATGCCAAGTCCAGATTGGGCGTGGCCACGATCTTCTGCCAATCCGTGAGCCAGTCACGTGTCGGTGTGCTCCCTTGAGCCATCGCGAAGATGCGGTTGATGGCGAGCGCGGGTGCGTCATCCACTATGAACCGCTTCTTCCATTCCTTTGCCATATCCTCCCAGGTGACCTTCTTATGCAGGTCTGAAACTTGGACGCCGTGGATGGTTGCCATGTGGCTGAGCCAGATCTGACATCCTCCCTTGGTGTTGATGAATAGAGCACTGATGAACAGATGGTTAGGGAC